TTTGGGAAGTCTATAAGTCTTGTGTGTCAATCTCTTTCCCTTCTCTCTTCTCTTTGATTTCTGCAAACAAAACAAACGAGTGATTAAGAGAGATTGTGAGGTTGTATCGAATTCGGATTGAGCTCGTATCAAAGGCGTATTGACAACAATCTACCAACCATGAAAACACCTCACGACCAAACTGTGATCGAACAAAGAGGATCCAGGGGAAGAGAAATCTCCCCGCCATAGAGAAGATGATACCTAAACTGGAAGAAACATAAGTTCCGACAACACCAAACCCAGATCTATCATATAAACCAAATCGGCAAAGGAGTTAAGACACAAATCCGTTTAAAAACGGAAACTTAATTATCCGATTAAATCGGAAAGCCGCAGATCCGAACCTCGTCAGAAAAAGATCCGATAAACAGAAAATTCAGATCTAAACCGTAAAAACAAGAAGCAAAAACTAAATATAAACAAAACCGAACCGACATTGTGGCTTAAGAAGCCCACACCCGCCGGCCGGTAACGAAGATCCGATTGGAAAGTTGTTGTTTCTAGAGAGAGAGAACTCTTTTTTTAGAGAGAGAAAACAGAGTGAGTTGCTGAGACATTTTCAAGATATATAAAAGTCAACCTTATAGTTTTCTCACAAAATCTAATTGCAACATTGTACAAAAAATATATAATATAACTAAGGGACCACATGTGAAAGATTATTATATTTTTATTTGTAAAATAGTAAATAGAAATCAAATTTAAATAGGACAAGGAAAATTTATGTGATATAGTTTTTTTCTTCAAAATTGGGGTACAACTTGCCAGCCCATTCTCTACAATAGCAGAGAGTGGGACTCGATCACGGGTGTTGTGTAATTTAATTAAAAAAAAATAATATAAAAAAATAAACTATGAGGATAAATGAGATAAATATGTGTTATATTTTCTAAAATTGGTTTCCTATTGGAGTTCTAAATCTTATTTTATTATCTAACTTTGTCTTCCCTTTTTCTCTATTTGATTTTGTTTTTACGAGTTATAAAATATTAAAAGAGTAAAAAATCTCAAATATAAATATGAGGATAAATTTGTCAACATTTAAAAAAAAAATAAATACTTAAAAATATGTGATAACTTTTTATTGTAAATCAAACAATAAAATAAATAAATGTGATGCCTTTCAATCAGTTGGTTCGCAACAACGTTTCTTGAATAAGTGATCTCATTTTGTTTTCCATAATTAAATATTTCATTTTCCTCAGGGTTATAAAATATTAAGTTAAAAACCCGCATATATGCGGGTTCTTAATCTAGTATATCATTAAATTGAATTGAAAATCAAATAATAGATAATTTTTGAAAATACCACTTTTGAAGTGTCACTTTTAAAAAATGCAATTTTTTCAAAATCTTTACAAAAATGCAATTTTTCAAAATAATTTACTCAATATTTCATTTATGTTTGGGTTAACTATGTTATTAGGGTTTAGATTTGAGAGTTTAGGGCTAGTTAGGGATCAAAACATTTTTTAGGATTTAGAATTTTAAGATTTATGATTTAAAAATCCTTAATTAGTGACACTTTTACAAATGGACAACCTAGAGTGGCATTTTTTAAAATAGACCCACCAAAAATGGTAATTTTGCCATTACCCCCAAATAATATGAGAAGACAAAATATAAGAATCAAATTAGATAAATAATTTGTAGGTTTTTGCTCAAAAAAAAAAATTGTAGGTTTCTCTATCATTGATTGCATATTAATATTCTCAATCTAATTTTATTAATTTTATGGTGTGATCTAATGTACTTTTCCACTTTTTGTTTGGTAAACCTAATTTAAGCTGG